AGCATGCAGTATGAAAGTGGCAGTGTTTCCCAGATATCATTGCGAAAATTGCAAGCACAAATGTGAAAATGAAAGCAAAAGTGAATGAAAAAAGTAATAAATATAGATTCCTATTGTAATCACTAGCTACCTAAAAATATCAAACTATATAAATATTTTCTTTGCACTCTCCAAAGCAGTACATTCATAAAACATACTTTACCAGGAAACTTATTTGATCACATATTACACTGATAGATTTATTTATGTCTCACCCCTACATAAGAAAGGGACTCTCAGACTTCTATGGAACTGATTTACCGAAGGTTTGTCAGGCAAGCAAATATGATTGAATGTCAGACAGCCAATCAAATTAAGGGGGGCTTTTTTTTTTACTATTTAAAAAGATTGGTGTGAAGTAAAACAAAATCTGCTGTAACCTAACCATTAGTAAATCATCCCTAGTTTACTGGTAGTAGGTAAAAAAAAAAATCTGTATTTTGAGTATCTTATTTTTTCTATATTTAATTGTACCATAATTAAGAGACAAAAAAAGTGTCACTGCTAAAAGAATAAGATCCCTAATAGATACTACAACAGAAGTAGTGGCTGTTCACAAAGAAAGGTTAACTTAGCATAGTGACTAAGATGACTTTTACTATGAATATCCAAACAAATGAAAGCAAGAACAGCATTTTTGCTTGCACATGATTGGATGAATGAACACAGCTTCACTTGAACAGTTACTGTGCAGTCACTTTAGTAAATCAACCCCAAATATTGTTAATAAATGATCGAAGACTGAATGCTAGAATAAAAGGAGTTACGTCAAATAAAAATTGGACGTCACAGAGCATTTAGGTTGTACCTTTATACATATAGTGTTAACATTAAAAACAATATGTATTTATATATGTTATACATTGTAACCATATATAATTATTTTCCTAGGTGCCATTACAGGGAGATTTGTAATGGTATTAGCTAGGGATGTCCCGATACCCGCTTCCTGATTGGCCGGCCAGACGGCTCCGGCTGGGTACCGGAGGAAGGCCGCGTTCTGGCTGCAGAGGCCCCGGGGGTGACAGGCTGGACAAGGTAAGAGGGGACAGACTTTGTTGTTGATCATGAAGCTGGGTGGCGAGTCTTTACACACTGCCCGGCTTCCCGGGTTAATCAGGAAGCCAGGTGGTGAGTCATTACACGCCACCTGGCTTCCTGAATGGGACTTCCTTCTAGTATAATTTTTTTTGTATGAAACAGGCAATGAATGTTTTTTTGCCCATTTCCTTCTACAATATGATAATACAGCAATCTGATATGTTTATTTTCTGATAATTTGGATTATTTCATAAGCCAATGTAAAACCACAAAAGCTGCAATGGATAAGCAGAAACATGAAAGCAATATCGTCCTTTTCCATTGCTAATGACGTACTGATAATTGCTAAGCATACAGGCAAACGTATAAAGCTGATAAAAATATAAAAAATAGCTTGATTTTGTATAACCATTTTGTATAACCCGAATTCCCTGCAAATGCACAGTGGTAATCTATGCCAGACTATAATTAAAATACAAAACAAAATCCATTCTGTTGTAACGCTTTACACATTGTGTGTAAAACACTGCCACAGTTGGAATTTTTTAAAACTGGAAGTTAATAGTCACGTTTTCATTCCTAAAATTATGCACGAAGAATGCGGCAACACCATCCAGTTGCGTTCACATGTGGTGTTACTGTAGAATGTACATATAGAATACTGATGTGTCAATAGCATGCTGATATGCATTGACTTTTACAAAATGCTAGGTAAATATTTGAGTGAAAAAAGTAAAGACACATTACCTAAAGTTTTAACAAAGAAGTCAATTAATCATGGTTTGCAATCATCCAAAAGCTGGTTTCAGACTCCTTGGGGCAAAAAACTCCCAAAAAAACAGTTATACAATTTGAATACATTTTTTTTTTCCTTAAGGTTAAGCTGTGGTGAGAGCATGCCATTACTAACCTTTTGTGTCTTCAATACCTTCACTGACATGGAACAAGTAGGAGGCTACTGAATCCAACAGATTAGCATGTCAGTCAGTTAACTTGCATTTTTAGAAGTAGAGGTCAGCAATGACAGCACCAATTGTCTTTATAGGTTTAAAGCCCACTTCCATCTCCCATTTACAAAAAAAAAACCCATATGCCAGCAATGTACACCAAGTGCACATGAAGCAGGCATGTACAGTTGCTGTATATGAACACATTCAGCTCCTTTTGAAAAAGGTGCCTCTGTGTTTGCAAGCAATCTGTGTAAAATAACACACTCTCTCTATGCTCAGGGGGTCAGCGTTAGCCTGAGTTTCATGTGGAGATTTTCAATTTGTAGGCCTACTAAAAATATCATAAAAACATTATGAAAGCCATCAATGTGAGTTATGAAAATGTACACACATCACTGGACCTCTACATTAATACAACAAATGCTAATCACTTACAAAGGTGGAAATGGGCTTTAAGGACTCCAATTATTAAATTGGTAATAAATACTAACAGTATTATTCACACAAGGGTGAAGAGTTTGGAGAAGGCAGGAGAAGTGAACAATCTAGGCCAAAGTAGCTGATTTGAAAAAATCCTCCAATTCAGCTCAGTTTCCAGTTCAGCTATTTTGGCCTACAGTGTTCACTTCTCCTGCCTTCTCCAAAACTCTTCACCCTTTTGTGAATAACCCTGTAAGTCTCAGCTGTAAAAAATTCCATTAGGCTCTTTCGGTGCATTATTTCCATACCAAAAAACCCCCCAAAACCTTTGTCTTCTTTATCAGCCATGGACGGTGCATAGAATACCATAAGATGCCAGCACAACTATCAATGTGATGATAGCACTGTACTACAGAAAACAAATGAAATATCGGTCCACATGAACACTTCTATAACTGCTCTGGTGAGTAGCAGGCTTTTGCATTAAAGTGAACAGTCACAAGTGAGGCAAATTCACAGTTAGCACAGACTAAGACACTGAAGTATTTCTAATTATGCAACTGCACTTTTTATTTACTTTCTTGTTTGTCCTAACATATGTTTATTAGAGTTTTGTAGAATAGGGTAATAATCATTGTCAAAGTAGTTAGATGGTGGCCTGGCCCAAGAGAATAAGAAACCATTCCTGCTCAGTATACTTTAGGGTTGCCACCTTTTCTTCAAGCTAAACCCGAACACTGTAGCGCCTTGCGGCAATTTTTTGGTAAAGTTCACTATGCATGTATTTTGTGATTAAATAGCATTACATGCCGCCCAGCTTCCTGATTGGAAAGAAAGCTAGCTCCAGTGGCGTCACTAGGGGGGTGTGGAAGGAGCGGATCGCACCAGCAGGCCCGGCGCTAGCGCAAGGCAAGTCAGGCGAACGGACAGGTGGCAACCCTAGTATACTTACTAAACCATAGTGCAGCAGTTTAACCCAGCTGAATGTTTCTCTAGCCACGGAGATGTATAAAGCAACAGCAAAGACGCTTTGTAATGTGACTGTATTGATGGTAACATAAAAGCTTTTTGTTTGGTTCCACATGCTTACAATACAAACAACAGGAGATGCATTGCAAGGTGCAAGCATTCAAGAGTCTGTAGTTCTGTTGTCTCATCCCGGGCCCTGTGACTTAATGACTACTTCACTGCAGGATGCATTGTTTTGGGTTGCTGCACTTGGCACACAACTGCTCTTTGCTCGCTCTTAGATAAATGTTAATCTATAATGAATGCATTTACAATCACTAAAAATATGTGACCAAACTGGCAACTTAAATCTAAAATTCAGTTTAGTAAGAGTAGTTATGGTCTAATTCATGTGTCTGATCCCCTAAATTCTAAATGAAAAGCCTTATATATGTGTTAAAAAAAATAATTGGCAGAACTTAAAGTCCAATTGCTGGCAAAATATTATCTGTTGTATTATACTGTATATATATATGGGGAGATTGCCCTTCATTGGCTGTCTCTCATGTTTAAGTCAGGAAGTGAAAGGAAATCTCCCTAATATAGAAAGAAACATCAATAAAAACCTTAGACTATCTAACCCTTATACAGTATGCTTCTTAAAAAAAGTTTTTATTGCTGTCCTTTCCCTTTTGGGAGAGATTACCCTCACCTCCTGCGCCAAGTGACACAACATGAGGTGAAGTAGAACATTTCCAAAGTAAATACAAAAAAGCTGGACAGAGGTTTTAACCTTTTCCCTATTGCCCAAAGCAAACAAAATAAAAAAATACATTGGCTTTATATAATGCATAGTAATTGTAAATAAGGAAAAAAATGTGCACAGAGCAATGTTTTCCAAGTCTGGTTGTGCAACATAGATTATGTTATCATTTGATATTATTGTACCAAATTATAGGAGGGACTTATCTCTTTTACATGAACTGCTTTTGATCTGTTTAAAACAAAAGCATACATTCTCTGCCGTTGCAGTTTTATTCCAAAGTAACAGGAAGAACAATTTTATAATGTTGGAAATATTACATCATGAATTACAGAAAATAAATATATTTAAGGAACTAAGGCCTCTCCTTTGCAGGTGATAAAAATAATCTATATGAATTAAGAATGACGAGGCCTAAGCAGGGGCAAATCATGGCTTCAGTCTTATTAGTTTTCTGTACAAATGCTTTAAAGATCCAGTTTAAATAAAAGGCAATGGCACTGCTCTTAGAAAATTGTTACAAACCTCTCTAATAATGAATATTGATATGCCTAATAAATAAGATGCTAGTAACTCTCCATATGCCTCTTCTATGTTTACTGCAGAAATTAAAAATTCAAATAAATAATTTCTTAAATAATTAACCCCTAGGCACATTTTTGGTATTTAGTTATCAGCAACTGACCCATATTTACACTTTTGCTAGCTTCCAACAGGCAATACAAAAGAGAATCTTCAATATCCGTCATTGATTTTATACTCTTATTCCTTCGTACAGACCTGTGCTGAATTTATAGAGGTTGTCTATATCAACCCAATATTAAAAAAAACAACTAAATATTAAAGAAAAAAAAATTAATAACAATAAAAACACACCCATGTCTTTCACAATCGGTCAACATTAGTTAAAGGGTTATCACTAGACTAATGCATACACAAATACTTTTCATCCATGCACAACAGTACACATAGCACAGAACATTCCGAAACATGACAATGGTTATGGGTGGGAAATGCCCAGGAGACTCCTGCACAGATTATTCTGGAGTTGGCCTAAATTAGAGCAAAGACATACATTTTGGCTTTACCAGAATAGGACTTCTTGTACCATACAGTGAAAATGTTATGTAGGCAAAGCACAAATGGGAGAGAGTAGTTTGGTGATTTAGGATGGTGAGGAACACATGCTAACTACAATGCAAACAATTAGTTGGAGGGGAGAAGGCTTTTTTTTGGCTGCTTTCAGTTAACTATTTCTTGTCCACACATTAAACTAAAAGGACATGGCAGGATAAATTACCCCGGACACAAGTGGAATAGTATGTTTAATTCTGAACCCCATACATGTCTCATTGACAACCTACTTGGACCATTTTGCCAGCTGGGTCACTCTAGTTTTGGACATCAGATGGTGCATTTGCTTTTCTTCCAGGCACTCAACCCTCTCCCTCACAACAGCAACAACAACAAAAATAATAGTTACTAGTAATTCCGGCATCTATACATTTTAACAAAAAAGGCCCAAGTAGCATTCAGATTAGTCATTTCAAAAATAAAAGTAGTCAAACATTTATAGTACATGTTTTAGGTACATTTGCAAAGATGTCCCTGCATCCATGCCTGGTTCAACATGATGCCCCTGTGGGTAAGAAACCTTTAGATTCTTGCTTCTACGCAATAAAAGGAATGCTCCTACTGTTGCATTCTATCAGCAGGTAAGTGGAAATGGCAATGTCTTTGATTTCCTCTGTTCATTCTACATATATTTATATATTTACTATATCAAAGTGTTTGTTTAGAAGCCTGGTATGTGGCAGTAGGCTTCCAGAGATGAGAAGAAAATATACAAGAACCACAGGAGGGCAAAGAGGGCTGTTGTGAGAAGCTTAGCAGTCCGTGGCCCACCTAGCTCACCACCAATTTCAGGTCGTCTTCTGTAAAGCAGGACACCAATGCTTACGAATGCAAATATGGTGAAAAGGGTGACAGAGAAAGCCAGAGTGCCAGGTTGAACTCTAAACTCATCTCCGTTGGCTGCATGGTAAATTGCAGCAATGGACCAGGCGACGCCAATTCCCAGGAACACATTCACGGCGTTGCTACCAGTGACGTTACCTATGGAGGCATCAGCATATTGGTCCTGGATAGCTGCCACTTTGCTTGCAAAAGTATCTGTGGAAAAACAAAAGAGTTTATTAAGTAATATGTGTGCTTCACATAAAACACAAGGGTTTGATTTGTTTATCTCATTAGTAGCCACTCACGTTCTCTTTCAAGGGCAACATAAACATTACATAATATAACACAGTTATATACTTCTATCTATAGGACACTATGTTCTTTATTATAAAACATATCGGGGTTGATTTACTAACCATATAAACACGCCACGAGCAAGTATACACCTCTGTAGTGTGTTCCCTCCCAGCATGATCTATTGGTGAAATCTAGACACCTTTGTAGTGTGTACACACCCAGCAGGTGTGTTGTGCAAAGTCCTGCATGAATTGCAATGTGATGTTGTGTAAATTAGCTCTGTGTTGCTTGCGTTGATGAATGCAGGAATGTAAATGCATGAGCTAACCATTTTTGTCTAAACTGTGAAGCAGCATTATATATGCATCATGTGCATGATTTTTCCATATATGGCATTAGTGGAAATATGCTTTTAGAGACTTGCATGCCGCTATTAGAGCGGCGTGTAGCCTATGGCGCATGCTACATGACGCGCACGTACGTAAATACATAAAAACGCGCCATAACGGCGTGAAAATGTGACACGTTGCTCGTGTTTGGTTGATAAATAAGTTTTGCTGTGTAAAAATGCACACGCACCTGGTGCGTGCGTGTGTTTAGGTTAGTAAATCACCCCCATCATGTCTTTCTTTAGCACCTGTCAGCTTGTATGCCCAAGACTGTTGCTCTCATAAGACAAGGTTAGAATTTTTTTTTATGAGGCACCATCCAAAGACAGCGTGATAAATGTTTCTTCCTATGTAGCCTTTAAGGATTAAACACGAGCAGGTTGTCTGTATTTCAGCTTTAATAATACATATACAGTGTTGGAATAGATATAGCTACCTATAGATTTGTAATTCCGCTCAAACTTGTTTTCTAGATGCTATTGATAAACATTTATTAATTTTCTACTGTGTACAGATTAACAATTGTTTTAAAATATATATATATATATATATTAGCCTAGCATTCAGTTTGAAGTTACCGCCTACTCCATTACAGGAGCTGCATGACCACCCTGCTTCTCCACTTTGTACAGTGCCAGGACAGGCCATAATATGAAGTTTAGCAGAGCATATCCCAGATGTGGATAGATAAGTGAGTAAAGTGACTCCAGGAAGAGTTTTGTGTATGCCTATAAATACACAAATATAAACTTTACAGAATATTGTAAAATATTATGTCACCCATTTCAATTGTCCTGGCTTCCTTAGTATATTCCTTGACAGTATCACCCAAGTGAGTAGGATATGGACCAAAACATATGAACCAAAATACTGCATATCAATATTTGGAATCTGATATTATATTTAGCTCATCTTAGCTGGTCTGTTACAAAAGCCAGTTGCTTACAGAGTTCAATAGCTCAAGCTAAAATGTATACACACATTGCAATAAGTTAGATCAGTGACTTCCGCCCTCAACCCCCCTTCAGATTATGCTAAGAATTTTTTTTATTAGAGATAGCGCGTGCTGTGCTGTCTTTAGAAAACCCATAATGCTCTGTGAATCCTGTCTCACTACCCAGATAGCAAGGATAACTTGTCACAAACATGTGGCAGGGTTAAATTGTAATTCTTGTTAACATGCTGCACACATTCCTGGCAAGTTGTAGACTTGCAGCACAAGTTCTAGTTGACACTTTTTGAATTTGTAGTGAATTTGCTTGGCAAGTCTACAGCAAGAGTCTTGTAGGTCTTAGCAAGAGCTCTGCAAGTATACAGCACTTTTGCAAAGCACGTTGATCTGGAGACTTGCAATGCAGACTTGCTGTAATTGTGCAACAAAATTGGGGACCTTGGTAAGTCTACAATACTTTAGCAAGTCATTTTCAAACTTGCAGCTCAATTGCTTGCTATCTGGGTAGTGTGTCATTTATTAAAAACATTGAAAAAGATAAAAGAAAAGAAATCTAAACTAAAACTAAACTTCTCTTTAAGCATTTTATGGCACTAATTACACCCTTTTACATAACATAAATGTGCATTTTAGTCTGATGGGCTCATCTGCTGTTTTGCCTGAATTAATACACTTGCGTCCACTGCATTTTCCAGTTATCTGCTCTAAACTGCGTCCAATATTAAAAATGTTTACTATAAAACAGCCGTCTACCAATATTCCTATTTTGTAACACCAGGGTAAAAGAGGACAAATTACAGTGAAACTATAATGATTATCGTAGTCTTACAGTTTGTTTTAACATTTTCAGACGTTGTTTAGGAACAAATTAACAAAATCCTTTTCATTAGAAATAGTTTATCTTTAATTATATTAATGGTCTTTAGAAATCCCACAACACTTTCAGAATACACAGGTTTCCATCGGTCTCTGCCCCTGAAGGATCCTATAGTCTAAAGTCCTTGTCTCATTCACACACACATATATACACTATTGTCAATTTAGGTAGAAGCCAAACCCCCTACCAGCCACCAATTTTTCAGGCACCTAGAACATCCTTTAGTAAATAATTCAAGCTGGATATACACAGTTGGAATTTCCTGCATTTTTCCGAAAAAACTTTATATGGAAAAACTGATTTGAAATTTCATTTGATTCCAACATTTGATTTTAGAATGAATTAGAATTTCATTTCTTTGAGAACATTTTTCCATCCTGCTCTTTTTTTTTGCCACTTGAATGAATGTCCAAAAAACGACCATTCAAATGCAATTTTTGCTTACCCAGCTTCAGAGTTAGGGATTAGTGTTAGTATTAAAGTTAGGTAAAAGGTTACATTTAAGGGTGCAGGTTTAAGTGTTGAAGGAGATCACTTTTGCAACCGAATTGGGATAACACCTATTTTATATTTGTTGCATATTCCCAATCACATAACAGAAATAAAAAAAATTCTAAAAATTGCTGCATACAATTACTTTTTCTTTGTTACTTGTTCTCTGAACTAGATATCTTAGTCGTTTTTTAAATGCTAAATACC